AGTAATAAACACATACATTAATTAGCATAATTGAATATTGATTGATACCTTGCGTTGGCGACGGATGGTGAGAATCGAGTTTCCCAAGGCATCCATAAGGAAGATCTCATTGGAATTGGATACCCTAACTCTGCGAGGGCTGTTGATGATGTAATTGTCGACCCGATAGACAAGGTTCCCATTGGTATCACACACGGTGAACCCCTCGCAGTTAAGAACCAACAATTTCTTCCATACTGTCAGGATTACGATCATATAAGAAAGAGGGGAATGACTTCGACTGAACCCATTCCCGTTAGGGTATATCTTTTTTATTAATTCCCACTTCATTCCAATTTTCACAATCCCAACTCTTCTTTTCTTTTCTTTTCTTTATCCAAGAAAAGAAATAATAAGTATAAAATGCTATAGTTTATTTAAGAGTTCAACTTCATTAGCCATTGCCCTGTATATATATACTCTACTGGAGTCAGTTACTACACTTTATTTTCTTTTTAATAATATATAATATAAAATAAATGTGGTATTTTTTAGGTCTGAAGGGACACCACAACAAAAAGCGTGTCTGAGTGCTGATGGGAAAACTTTAGATACAACTTAATTTTTTAACAGTTCGTTTGGTGAGTTGGAAACGACAAATGTATGGAAAAGTCGAGTGGTATAAATTTATAATGGATAGAGACATTGACAAGAGATGAGCTAAATTTATAAGAGTCAAACAAGTTTTGTTGCCCCCTTGACCTTTGCTTCCGCCGCACTTAATCGAGCCCAAACCCTAGGCGCGCGTCCCCACTTCTTCTAATCCTGCTTGGTGTCTGCCTCGTCCGCGACCCACGAGTCCCACGCGTTGTCCGTTGCTCCCTGCACTAGTGCCACGCACGCCCGCTCCCTCGGCATTGCTCCCGTGATCGCTTAATGCCCCGCGCGTAATGCTGTCCTTCGCGCCCTACCCAAGCTCGTTCATGGTCGTCGGCTGTGCGCGCTAGCCACCCAACATCCACCCCTCGTGCACTGTCCGCTCCCTTAGCCATGTACTCGCCGCTTGCCTGCTTGACCCGCCCGTGCATGGTCGTCGCCCTAGCCTCCAAGCGTCGTGCGTGTTGTTCCCTTGCGCATGCCTTGCACCAATCGATTGCATCACCCGACCCCATCATGCGCGAACTTCCCGTCGCGAGGTCCTCCTTCGCGCGTTGTTGCATGTATGCCTCCTTGTTAGTCACCTGACAGGTATCGCTGGCAATCGCGTCGCATGATCACTACGCCTTGTGACGCGTGTTCGGGCCCTTTTCTCAC